AAGAAGGCCCTCTTGTCTCTCCTTGCTATTCTTTGGAAGTCTGCATTCAATTTTCTGTAACTTTCCCTATCTCCCTTGCATTTTGTTTCCTTTCTCTTCTCTGCTATTTCTAAGGCCTCGTTGGAAAGCCACTTTGCTTTCTTGCATTTCCTTTTCTTTGCAATGGTTTTTGTTGCTGCCTCCTGTACAATGTTACGAGCCTCCATCCATAATTCTTAAGGCATCTGTCCACCAAATTGAGTTCCTTAAATCCGTTCTTCACTTTCACTGTGTCTTCATAAGGGATTTGGTTTAGATTCTACCTAACTAGCCCAGTGGTTTTTCCTACTTTCTTCAATTTAAGCTTGAGTTTTGCTACAAGAAGCTGATGATCAGAGCCACAATCCAGGTCTTGTTTTTGCTGACTGTATAGAGCTTCTCTATCTTTGGCTGCAGAGAACATAATCAATCTGATTACGGTACTGCCCATCTGGATTTCGGTATTGGCCATCTGTTGATGTCCATGTGTAGAGTCACCTCTTGTGTTGTTGGAAAAGAGTGTTTGTGATGACCAGCTTTTTCTCTTTACAAAACTCTGTTAGCCTTTGCCCTGCTTCGTTTTGAACTTAAAGGCCAAACTGACCTGTTGTTCCTTTTGTCTCTCGATTCCCTACGTTAGCATTCCAGTCCCCTATATTGAGAAAAACATCTTTCATTGGTGTCAGTTCTAGAAGGTTTTGTGATTCTTCATAGAATTGATTGAACTGGATAGGACTAGCTTTTGGTGAAACATGCTGGATCCTGGACTGTTTCCTGGTGGAACTATTTGAACAGTGCACTGGTTGCTCACCTTGTGTATGGGACATTTGTAAGTCATACCTTCTAGTATGTAGGATTTTACTCCTTAAGAGAAAGACTTAAAGCAGCTCCTTTTTTATGCACGAGTAGGCATGGTTTCAACATACAATGGTGCCCTGCTTGACAACGATAATGCGTTCCACCAAAATCGCTGTTAAGCGAAATCGTCATCAAGCAAAAAACAAACAAACAAAAAAACACCCATTGAAATGCATTGAAAACCGGT